TTCAAGACTGTCTCGTATCACTGTTACACAGATGATATCCAGATATATTTCTCTTACAAACCCGTCAAAACTGAGAATTTAAACACCCTGATTACATGTCTGTCTGCAATTGAGGAGTGGATGTCAAGCAACTTCCCACAGCTCAATGCATCAAAAACGGAAGTCTTGATCTCAGCGGCTGATAACATCGCCTCTAAGGTAGCAACCCAGCTAGAAATGTTTGGTTCTAAAAACATTCTGAGAATGTTACATTCATTGTTCTAGGAATGTTTTCAGCGGGAAGTTTTCCTTTGGTTCCCAGAACGTTCTTCTGAAAGGTAGGATAACGTTCTCTAAAAACATTCTTAAAATGTTTGGTGATAACCTTCTTAAAATGTTTTTGATAACATTGTTAGAACATTATGCCCTACTATTCTTAAAACGTTTTCAGCAGAAGCTTTTATTTTGGTTCCCAGAATGTTCTTCTGAAAGGTAGGATAACGTTCTTTAAAAACATTCTTAAAATGTTTTTGATAGCATTGTTAGAACATTATGCCCTACTGTTCTTAAAACATTTTCAGCTGCAAGTTAGATTTTTTTTATGTTGCCAGAATGTTATTATTTTAGAGAAGGATAACATGCTTTATGTTTAAAACATTATGCAAATGTTCTGTGGTAACAATTTACTAACATATTTTTACATTATTAGAACATAAAGACATAATATTCCTGTAATTGTTCAACTCAAAATTCCTGGGTACGTGGACTGACCACTGTGGTCATTAGGATGATTTTGAGTTTACTTAAAGGGGACCTATCATGCAAAATGCACTTTTGTACGTCTTTTATACATGAATATGTGTCCCCGGCAGAGTTGGGTGTAATAATAATATTAATAATATAATATTACTTTTGTCGGTAACGGAGTAGTGTAACGCGTTACTTTTATAATTCAGTAATCACACTACAGTTACTAACATTGCCCCGACACGCGTTACTTCGTTACTTTTATAAAATCAGTCATAATCACACTGACAGACAAGAGGGGTTTCCCCCGCAGGTTTATATGTACGTAATCTGCGCGACTTGCGCATCCACATCTCCGCGTGCAGTGCTGCATAAACATGGCAGAGTCAGCGATAACTTTCGAGGGGTGGAGGTATGCCCATTATTTTGAGTTCGTCCGAAGAATAGACAGGAATGTGACGGTGAGGTGCAAACTGTGTCCAGGCCAGAAGCTGTTATCCACTGCTGCAAACACCACGTCAAACCTCAACAAACACCTGCAAAGAACACATGCTAAGGTGAAGCTAATAGCTAAGGACCCCCGAACCCAGAGTGAGGATGTTGTGAGTGCGCCGCCGCCGACTCCGAAGCGGCACAAATTAGAATTTGGAGGACCGGTAACCAAAGCAAAGATGGACAGGCTTGTAGCATCCTTCATAGTAGAGGTAATGTTGCCCATTTGCACAGTGGAATCACCATCGCATCGTTCAGAGATATACTGCGCAAAATACAGATAGCAGGAGACAGAGGACAGCCATAGTCAGAGCTATCTGGATCAGTCTTATGCGACAATGGAAACTGAACTAAAGAGAACATTTGAAACTTTAGCAGTCTGCGTGATCTGCCTGTAGGGAGGGGCGGGCCGGCCCTGCGAGTAAAGTAACGAGTAAAGTAACTCGTTACTTTACTCGTTACTTTACTCGTTACTTTACTAGTTACTTTACTTTATTGTTAGAGAGTAACGAAGTAGTGTAATAAATTACTTTTTTTTAAAGTAATATGTAATATATTACTTTTTTTAGTAACGACCCCGTCTCTGGTCCCCGGTGTTCCAGGGAACTCACCAAGTGTCAGAAAACACAACCCTCTCTATTTTCCTCCATACCCAAATCTCTAAGAAAGGTGCTGCAACGGATCTAATAAAGAGAGACACACAGTAGAAACAAACACATACAAACACTAACAGGGGTTTCAGGGACGGGCAGTGATAGTCGGTCCGTTCTTCTCTATGTCTGTCTTTGGTTTTCTAAGTGTTATTCGATCCATATGACAATAGAGATATGTGCATAAAAAACAAAAACACTTGGGGTATAATGTTCGAACAATGTTATCACCAAACATTTTAAGAATGTTTTTAGAGAACGTTATCCTACCTTTCAGAAGTACATTCTAGGAACCAAAATAAAACGTCTCGATGAAACCATTCCTAGTACAATGAATGGTAACATTCTCAGAATGTTTTTAGAACCACCAATGTCTAGCTGGGAACTCAGACATGCCAACGCAAACATGCAATATCATGAATTACATGCTTGTTTTTTTTTAAAAGGAAAATGTGGTTTTTTAAACATCCTTTTCAAACAAATGCAACAAGTTTGTTTTTTAAAGCGCACCACAAATAAATCTGACGTTGACCATGACCGTGTTAATATTTCGCATCACAGGAACATTTTATAAAAAAAGAATAACCTCCTGAAAACATTATCCAAATGTTGCTTTCAAAATGTTCTTCTTTGGTTATCATGTAACATTGAGGGAACGTTTTATAAAGAACATCTTTAATGTGTTACCCCAACAACGTCCAAAACACATCCTTAGAATGTTGCAGGCAAAACGTTCCACCTTTGTTAACATATCACATTAAAGGAATGTTTTATAAAACACTTTCTGTCATCTCAGGCCTCAATAACATCCTCATAACATCCTCTGAATGTTGTAGGTTAAAACGTTATGTCTTAGTTAACCTTAAACCTTATAGGAACATTATTTGAAAAAATAAACATCCTAAAAAGGTTCTTTGAACATCAGATTAAAACGTTTCTTTAAAACCTTATTAGAACCTGTAGGTAACGTTCGCCAAAGTTGTGAGAACGTTCCCCGCTAGCTGGGAAGCCACCTGGGTTCATTTAGTGGTAACGTTAGGGCAAACATAAAAAACCTTGGTGTAACCTTCGATCAGTCTATGCTACTAGACAAACACATCGAACTCCTGACCCGTACCTGTTTGTTCCACCTCAGGAACATTGCCAAGCTCAGGGGCTTTCTATCCAATGCAGAACTGGAGATGGCTATCCATACCTTTATTTCATCCCGGCTTGATTACTGTAATGATCTGTTCTCCTGCCTCAACAAAAACATCAATAAACCGGCTACAACAGGTCCAAAATGCTGCAGCCAGGTTACTCACTCGGTCCAAAAAAACATGCCACATCACTCCGATCCTTTCTGCCCTGCACTGGCTCCCTGTCCATCTCAGAACCCAATGTAAGGTATTGGTTTACACATATAGAGCTGTCCATGGCCAAGCCCCCACCTACATTAACGACCTTGTCCACCCTCACACGACAACCCGGGCCCTGAGGTCCTCCGAGCAAGGACTCTTAAGGGTCCCCGAACCAGGCTAAAAACTAAGGGGGACCGTGCCTTTGAGGCAGTGGCCCCTATGGAATGAACTCCCCCAGAAACTGAGAGCCTCTGTCTCAGTGGAGGTTTTTAAGGGGCAGCTAAAGACTCACCTTTTCCGACAGGCTTTTGGGGCGTCGGAGGAGGTGAGTTTGTAGCTGTTTCTCATTGGTGTTTTATCCTATCTTTTACTGGATGTGTTTTATGCCTTTTATTACAAACAAAAACATTTTTCCCAATGTTTAAAATCTGTCATACCAGTCCCATGTTTATATATTATTATTATTATTGTTATAAGTATTATTATAATTAATAATAATGTAATTATTCATTATTTTAATACTAATTGGAGAAACTACTCTGCAGATTAATGAACAGTGAAACTAAATTCCTTCAATGCAGCTTAACGAGGCTAGCAGTTGAGATATAATATTTAAAAAAAGAATAGCAAGGCTATTAGAAAACCATGGTTGAAACACAGCATAGTAAAACATTTCTTCATAGTTCAGAAACCATTACAAACATCAACTGAATTGGAGAAACAGCATCTCTGTGGCCTTGTGTTGGCATAGTGTGAACGCTGGTTAGAACATAAAAAACTGTTGTAATAATAAAGCTTTATTTATACAGCACTTTTCATACAGCACTTTTCATACAGCACGTGCAGCTCAAAGTCCTTTACAAAATGGCGACACATCACAAGTTAAAAATAAACAACAAGAAAGTCCCCTCAGACGTTAAGACCTTTACAGATACATGCAGCAAAATATAACATTGTAACAGGTTAAGATACACAAGGAGGTAAAAGGTATGACAATAACAAATGAAATACATTAAAAAAAAATGATGATTCATCTCGGAAAGATAAGACACAAGACAGGTGAATAGATTCAACAATATAAAACCCTATAAAGTAAAGTGAACATATAGGTACAACAGAAATAAAAACTAATAATGTCGAGTAATAAAAACGTCATAATTCTAATAAAGGTTAAACGATTAAAATATAAAGAAACCAACGTAAAAATAAATGTTATTGAAACTGTTAAATAACTAATATAAGATAAAACCCTTCCTATATCATAAATGAAACAATATAAAAGTAGGTAAATAATAAAGACTAAAACCCCATTTAAAGTGGGGGGTTGCTAATAAAAAGCTAATCTAAAGAGATGTTTCTTTAACTGGCGTTTAAAAATGTCCACTGAGCCTCTCTGATATTTCCTGGTGTTCCACAGTTTGGGAGTGTAGTGGAGAAAAGCCTCACCCATTTTATTTAGGTGGATTTTAGGGTTATTAAAAAAGCTGAGGAGGACCTCAGGGCTTGTCCAGGGACATAAAACAAGACTGACTGTGAATTGAAGTCCGTTAGTCAGACTTCAATTCAGAAAGACTCTTAAAATATAACTACAGCTCTCAGGACATCAGGAGGAGGAAACAGCTAGCTTGGCTCTCATAGTTGTTCAAAATTATGCAGAATGGATTCGCTCGTGGACATTAAGGTGAATACTTTGAGAAAACGTGTTGCCACACTCTTAAGACCACTATGGTTTTTCTCCCGTGTGAACACGTTGATGTCTTTTGAGACCATATGATGTAGTGAACGTTTTCCCACACTCTTCACACCAGTACGGTTTTTCTCCAGTGTGAACACGTTGATGTTTTTTAAAACAAGACTGACTGTGAATTGAAGTCTGTTAGTCAGAACTCTCATTCAAAACTATGCAGTGTGGATGCGCTCATGGACTTTAAGGTGAATACTTTGAGAAAACGTTTTGCCACACTGTTACGCCCCTCTCTAGGGGTAGGGAGAAACAACATACACCAGTGTGGAATTGGTAATTATTATACATATTTATTTATAAGTAATAGTGGTAACAATATAATAACGCCTAGCCTAGCACAAACAAAGTGCCATATACCGGTCGCAACAACCAACAAAAGGAGAACTCCAAAAGAGTGTCTTACAGGTTATACAAATATTGAATAAAGGAACACAAAACCCTCACTTTTAACGTGGCATTAGTAACTGAAAGACTGTAGAAAACACAGCTGCTAATTATTGTCAAACGCTAACAGCTAAGTTACTCTGGATACTATTTGCACAAGTACACTGCACTACCTAACTAAACACAGAAGCTCTAATTTAACACGCTGTTAAACAGTATAGCTTTCACACAGAAGTCACTAAATCGTCACAAGTATAACAAGAGGCTAGAGGCGTCTGTCCCACATCACAGAGCCTCCCGAGTGATAATTGTCCCCAGGCTTTGTAGTCATCTCCGGAAGGTGTGCGCTGGGATTGCACGGGATTGGAGAGCGTCGGGCCCGGCGTGCTCCAATCAGTGTCTTCGGAGGAGGACCAGGAGATGACAGCCAATGACGTTGGGGCAACCACACAGCTCATTTACATATCACACACACACACAGCTGCAAACAATCCCAGACAGGTTAACGAGCAGACAGAAAAAGCAGCCGTAACACACACTCTTAAAACCACTAAGGTTTCTCTCCTGTGTGAACACGGTGATGGATTGTGAGTTCACTTGATGTCCTGAACGTTTTTCCCACACTCTTCCTAGCTGTACGTTTTTTCTCCACTGGGAATACATTGATGTGATTTGAGATGACCCGATCTGGTGAATGTTTTCCCACACTCTTCACAGCTGTACGGTTTCTCTCCTGTGTGAACACGCTGATGTGTTTTGAGAGCACTTGACGTAGTGAACGTTTTCCCACACTCTTCACACGAATACGGTTTTTCTCCAGTATGAATTCGTTGATGCGTTTGAAAATTACCTGATGTCGTGAATGTTTTCCCACACTCTTCACAGCTGTACGGTTTTTCTCCAGTATGAATACGATGATGTGTTTTGAAAGCATCTGATCTAGTGAACGTTTTCCCACACTCTTCACAGCTGTATGGTTTTATTCCCGTGTGAACACGCTGATGTGTTTTTAGATGATCTGATCTAGTGAAAGTTTTCCCACACTCTTCACAGCTGTACGGTTTTTCTCCAGTGTGAATACGTTGATGTGATTTGAGTTCACTTGATTGAGCGAAAGTTTGCCCACAATCTTCACAGCTGTACGGTGTTTCTCCAGTATGAATACGTTGATTTGTTTGAAAATTACCTGATGTCGTGAATGTTTTCCCACACTCTTCACAGCTGTACGGTTTTTCTCCAGTGTGAACACGTTGATGTGTTTTGAGATGACCTGATCTAGTGAAAGTTTTCCCACACTCTTCACAGCTGTACGGTTTTCCTCCAGTGTGAATACGATGATGTGATTTGAGGGCACCTAATTGAGCGAAAGTTTGCCCACACTCTTCACAGCTGTACGGTTTTTCTCCAGTGTGAATACGTTGATGTGATTTGAGAGCACCTGATTGAGCGAAAGTTTTCCCACAGTCTTCACAGCTGTACGGTTTCTCTCCAGTGTGAATACGTTGATGTGATTTGAGATGACCTGATTGAGCGAAAGTTTGCCCACACTCTTCACAGCTGTACGTTTTCTCTCCAGTGTGAATACGTTGATGTGTTTTGAGATCACCAGATCTAGTGAATGTTTTCCTACACTCTTCACAGCTGTATATTTTTTCTCCAGTATGAATAAGCAGGTGGCGCTTTAAATGTCCAGATGTTGTAAAGGATTTGTCACATTGCTGACAGCTGTGAAGACTCTCTCTTCCTTTCGGTTTCTAGAACAGACGGACAGAGAAAGAGAGAAAGTAAATCTAAAAAGCATAAAAACATATAGAGTTAACACAATAAAAACTCTCTTAATATAAACCTTGAGTTAACAAAATGCTACTTATACTAACTGTTTGTGTTTATTATATTTGTATTATATTTGATACAGTAATACAGCAACATTCTAACCACAGTATATACCAGAGGTGGGGGACTCGAGTCACATGACTTGACTTGAGTCACATGACTTGACTCGAGTCGCATATTTTTTTTACTTGAGACTTGCTTGACTAAAACATTGATAAAAGACTCAACTTTAAATATTTGTTTTGGTATTGTACGAAGCCCCTAAAGGGCAATGAAAAAAAAAAGCATGAGAAAGTTACCGGTGCGCCAAGTAGGAAGACAGACGTTTCATTGCAGAATGTTATGTCTATGTGGGGAAATGGCAGTGCATAGGCTACATTATTTGAGATATATTTTGAACTCGGACTTCCTTTTAGCGACATTTCGGCCAGGGGTGTAGAGCTATTTGTTTAAGCACCAGATCGGCAAAACAGGAGAGTCTGTGAACCAGTCTGCCCTGATCTATGAATTCATGTCTGTGACTCTCACAGTATCTGCTGCCCACAGCTGTTTTAAAGAAGGAAAACCTCCATACTACTTTGATCATTTGCTCGGCTAATAATCAATCAGATCGATGGATTCCAGAGAAGAGGAAACTTTGAAGGCCTTTTTCTCAAAATGATGACTGTAACAGTCATTATATAATGTGACATATTTTGCTTAATATTTGGAGTACAAAAACAATCATGATATCATTAGAAAGCTAGGAATCTCCTCTTTCCAACAGTGTATACAACTCAAAATGTGTCTTCGGGTCAATGCGACTGATTTCTATAGAGCAGGTCACATATATAGTTTGAGCATGTTTATATCCGTTCTAACACTTATCGATATGGAGAAAATGTGTAATCACATTAAAATTGTTTTTTTAATAATGTAAACACACCAAAAACTAACCATTAACCTGTTAAGCCCGGGCAGCAACAGCGTCTGAGGGCTTCATACATTTAAGAAACTATGAATGTGTCATACCCACTTAACGAGAAGAAACTCATCTAACTGATGATATGAAACATTTTTACAGAAACAAGTCTAACACAGAGTCTCTGAATTAGCACTAAGCGAAAGAGTGCTAACGCACTTAGCACATAACTCACGGTAGAAATATTTTATACTTCATCGGATCTGCACAAAGGGTTAGGGCTGAATATCATATGAAAGCTGAGATTCCACAGATTCCAATGGTATAAGTATCATCACTGTGCGATCAGAACTCACGGCAGCGAAGGCCAACACCCAACTTCCCTTTACGGGGCCAAAACCGCAAATACGTCTTACCTTTGCTGTTTTCTGATCAAAAGTTGTGTTCAATGGCATTACAATGCATATAACCGCTGCTGAAGGTTAATCCAATGTTTCTGTGTCACTTTGAAATTATTACTGATAATCCATCATCATATTTATGTCAATAACCGGAGTTTTCATATAGAGTGTATGAGAGCGTAACCCAGCTTCCGGTTTTGGGCATGCTGGCTGCGCATCACTCATTCACCAATGGAAATGTTTAGATGGATTTAGGAACCCCCTCTCGATTCTATTGGCTTTAATGGTTAAAAAGAGGTGTCAATCATCAAAATCGACCAATGGGTTCCAGAGATATGGCAAATACACCCAAATGACCCCAGAGGTGGGTTTCTTTTCTAAACCTCTCTAAAAGGGTCAAATTTCACTTGTTTTGCATCAATCTTGATACAGGGTACTTATTATATGTTATAGTTTGGATTCCTAAAGCTTTTAGTCTACTATCCCATCATTCAAGGGTGGTTTTCACTATAAGTAATGTTGTTTTTTTTGGACGGACACTATAATTTACATTTTTTTTACTATGTTCAATCTGAATTTACTTTCAAATAAAAACATCTATATTGATTCTGACTTTTCTACATCCAACTCACAGGTTTATCATTGCTTTGAGAAAAAAGATGATTAATTTTCCCCTTTTAGAAGTGAAGAAATCTGAAAAACAGGCTCAGGGCTTAACAGGGTAACAATAAATAAATGTCAAGTAAACTGAAACTGCCCTCTATTCTTTATGTTGTGCAGGCCCATCATTACTGCATTATTAATGCCACTGTGCCAGTCCTCCAGAGATATTTTGCAGACGAGGACCCCCGCCCTGACTTTCGGCTGGGCAGGGAGGCCACCCAGCAGCTCCTAGTGGCGCTGAAGACGGAGAGGCAACACGGATGGGGGCCATCTCTGGAGACCCTGGTGTTTCTGTTTTGGGTTGCCAGTGGCTCCGCTTACAGAGTGGTCTCCCGTGTCTTCGATGTGTATCTGCCGTCCGTCCACAGGATGGTGGATGAGGTGGTGGCCTTCCTGCCCCAGTTTGTCCGTCTCCCGCGCGTGGAGGTGGTTGGTGATGGTTTTGCCCGGTTGGCTCACCACCAAGCCTTTCGCAAGGCAGCTGGGGTAATTGACAGCTGCCACATCCGAATCAAATGCCCAGGTGTCCCTGATGGTCATGACCACTTCAACAGGAAGCTGTTCCATTCAGTTGTGTTGCAGGGCGTCTGTGACCATCAGGGACATGCCGTGGTTAAGCCACTCCTTAAAAAGAAAAATCTCGACCCCTCCATTCTCGCAAATTTTAGGCCCATCTCCCAGCTACCTTTTTTATCAAAAGCCCTGGAGCGAGTAGTCTACGCCCAGCTGCAGTCTTTTTTAACCATCCATGGAATCCATGAAAAGTTTCAGTCTGGCTTCAAACTCATGCACAGCACTGAAACAGCCCTTTTAAGAGTTTTTAATGATCTGCTCCTAGCCGCCGACTCAGGTAGCCCAGCTGTCCTGGTGCTGTTAGACCTGACAGCTGCCTTTGACACTGTGGACCATAGCATCCTGCTGTCACGGCTTGAACAGTCCGCTGGCATCACAGGCTCTGCCCTTGCATGGTTCAGGTCCTACCTGACAGACCGTAGCTTTTCGGTACAGCTAGGTGCCTTCTCCTCTGCCAAAGCCCCTCTTACCTGTGGGGTTCCCCAAGGCTCGATTCTGGGCCCCATCCTTTTTCTACTGTACATACTGCCCCTAGGTTCAATACTCACAAAACATAATATTCCCTTCCACTGCTACGCCGACGATGTACAGATATATCTGCCCCTAAAAGCAAATGTCAAACACTCACTACAGCAGCTGATGGACTGCTTAACAGAGATAAAATCCTGGCTGAGCAAAAACTTCCTCAACCTCAACGAGAGCAAGACCGAGGTCATCTTTTTTGGACCGCAACCTCCAGCCTCTCCAGTTGATATTCTGGGCTCTCTCAAAAAAAACATCCTCCCCTCGGTCATGAACCTTGGAGTGACCTTCACCAGCACTTTTAAATTCGACAAGCAGATCAGCACTGTAGTCAAATCGTGCTTTTTTAAAATAAGACTATTGGCCAAAACCAAGTCGTATTTATCTTTTAATGACTTAGAAAGGGTTATTAACGCCTTTGTAACCTCGAGACTGGACTATTGCAACGCTCTGTATGTGGGTATGGACCAGGCCTCAATTAAACGCCTGCAGCTAGTCCAAAATGCAGCTGCACGTTTGCTGACTGGCCACAAAAAGCGTGACCACATCACCCCTATTCTGGCCCACTGCACTGGCTTCCAGTTCGGTTCAGAATTGATTTTAAAATCCTTTTATATGTTTTTAAAGCACTAAATGGGCTGGCTCCGGCCTATATAGCTGAACTCCTCGAGCGCTACACCCCAACAAGAGCTTTAAGGTCTGCTGACCAGCTGCTGCTGGTAGTGCCCAAGACCAGGCTTAAAACCCGAGGGCACCGAGCCTTCACAGCAGCTGGCCCTAGGCTCTGGAACACTCTGCCCCTCCATGTGAGGTCGGCCCAGACCCTAGGGGTTTTTTAAATCCACTCTAAAAACACACTTCTTCTCTCTGGCTTTCTAGTTAGAGCGGAGCACGACTCCTGACTTTTCCTTGTGTTTTTATTTTAATTTTGTTTTTTATATATATCTGTTGTAATTTATTGTCTTTTATTGTGATTGTAGTAATGTGTTTTTATTACATGTACAGCACTTTGGCTCGACCAAAAATCTCTTTTAAATGTGCTATATAAATAAAACCTGATTTGATTTGATTTGATTTGATAAAACGAAATAGACAAGTGTTAAGCGTTAAGTGGGATAATACTGTAGAACAAACGGCTTCTGTTTGAGGTTGATAAAATAAGGTCATCCTTGTAACTTAGAGAGATATTTTATTATGCAGGTAGTAACTGTATGCATCGCTAAGGTTAATTGAAATCCGCTATGCTGAACTATGTAGACAAGCTAATTATGAACTTGCTTTACTTTCACGGAACACATTTATGGTGATAACAAATGTAACAAACACATTTTCTACGCCACTGAACATACTTACATTTAAATGTCTACTGCCTGGATTCAGCCATTGTTCGCCAAAGATTTTGGAAATTCGTCTGTGCGCAAAGAATTGTGGGTAATTTAAGACCGCCGATGATCCACATGAGCAGCCTTGAAATGTTCCTGCAACGAAGGACTCAGTCCTCGGTAGAATTCCAAGGATCCTGGACATTGGAGTCCTTCGACGGGATTCGATGACATAGCATCCTTGAAATAGTGGCTCTGAAGGATCCTTCCTTGACATTGAGAAACACCCATCGACACACTGCCTGAGGAAGGTTATGTGTATTTTTTTTGGTCATTCACTTTTTTCGGACCACTTATTTATTTATTTTGGTGAGGATCCGACCTCCATGCTGCTACTCTGGTTCAAACTGCATGCGCCGCATTTCGAGTTGATTGTGATTGTCCCGGCGTAGGACGTGCGTGCGCAGTGTTTTATAAATCGGAATATTTGTGTGCGTATGTACTTGCTTTGTCCTACGTACGCCAGTTTCCCACGTGAATCCTACGCAAAGTTTTATAAATGAGGCCCCTGAACAGAGAATATGAACTGCTACCATCTAATGGAGATTCAATAAAGTCAGACTGAAGCATCCTTTGTGCTCCAGTCAGTCCTCTCAGTAAATACAGAGCTGAATCCAGATCAAATGCACGCTGAAGGCTCTTTGAGCAGGTTGTCTCTCACTGATCCTGCTGTTATGTTACATGTTTGTTGTTTGTTGTTCATTTATTGTGTCTTGATATTTGTTTATGTTGATGTTACACATGGAGCTGCTGTGATGCAAGTCACATTTCAGACTTGATCTGACCATTAAAGTTTTATCGTATCGTATACAACAGGGGTATTCAACTAAAATTCAACGAGGTCCAGTTAGAGAAAATGTCCCCATGCAAAGGTCCGGAACATCAAAATGTCTAACTTGCTTTATGAATTAGTGTGATATATATTGAAGTAGCCTGTAGCTTTATCAACGTCTGCATGTAATCAACAACTGACTGCCAATCAAATAAAGAAAGTTCAAATTCAAAAACAACAATATTTATTGTCAATTAACATTGAACTATACAGATATACAGTAAATAAATACTGTGGATATGTGTAATGTTCCTCTCGGGCTGCATTTAAAAATAAAATAGAGAAATAAATAAAATAGCTTTGTTAACCGTTTCACATCATGACTTAACAGTTTCAGACGATTATAGAACATATCAGTCTTTACACATCATAACAATTGAACAGTGTTAAAGTTTCTCTTTCTTTCCCTCTTATATTGCAGTCCCTCACTCACTTTTTTTTTAATTCAGTGCGAGAATTGAGCTTGAGCTTGTCCTGCCAGGAGTTTGTAAATCTGGGCTGAAATGGTGTCAGGGCCATTCTCATACACACATGCAGGTGCTCATTGGGTAGCCTCGGTTAGCCTGCCCTGGAACCATATTTTGATCCTGGTGGACTGATCATATTGGGCTCTGAGACTGCTTATTTTTTGTGACCTCAGTTCTGACTTGAGAGGGAATGTTTGGTCAAACACTTTGTGTTTTGTCTCATAGTGGCGTTTTGGCACTTTTAATCAGGGTTGGGAGGGTTACTTTGTAAATGTAATCGGTTACTGAATACTGAATACATGGCTCTGAAAGTAATCCGAATACAGTTAGAGTTACGTGTCTTAAAAAAGTAACGTATTCAGATTACTTTTAGAATACTTTTGGAATACTTTATTTTTCCATAACAGATGGGTATGTGTTGGTGAACAGGAGACACTTATTTTACTGTTTTAATGGCTTATCAAGAGCACAACATCTTTGTGTCATTCTGGACAGCTCCCTCTCATCTGCACCCCACATAAAAAACATCACCCGGACTGCATTATTTGTACTCTCTTAAACCTTTCCTTAGAATATGTTATGAATTGTCAGGTGTCCTTGGGTGCTTTGAAAGGCGCCCCTAAATAGAATGAATTACCATTATTATTTATTATCTGAAACGACGTAATAACTTTTAAAACTGTTTCCAGTCACTTGCCCCATGCATTCAGCAGCAGCAGGCCATTCACTTTGATTTGATCCCGTTATGAAATGTCATCATTTCGACAATAAAGAAATGCTACATAAACGTTATCTTGCACATTTTATCGAACCATCTCCGTTTCTACATATTTTAAAAGAGATCTCTCTCTCTGATCTGCGTGCGGGGGCGGGGCCTCACAGACATGCTGCAGCGCTGTGCAGTGTGCACACAGTTCTGCTGGTAATGAATATTACATTTTATGAGGAAACTTTTCCACCAATAATTCCAAAAAGTATTCCAAAATGTATTCACATTCACTGCTTCTCTCCCTGTATCGCTAATTATTCTCTTCACTCACTTTCCTCTCCGCTTCTCTCTGCCGCTCTCTCATCTCTTCTTCTGTGTTTCTCTCCCTGTATCGCTCACTCGTCTCTTTCGTCCCCTGTCGGCGGCGGTTAAAATAGAATCGCCCCGTCAAAATTGAAATCCCCTATTAATGTATTGATTATAGGTCCGGGTCCGTATAGGTCGGCGTCTGGGTCCGGATCGCGGTCCGCCTGTTGCCGACCCCTGGTATACAACAACGTTCTAACCTATATCTAACCATATTGGGCATTCATATTGTATTTTCTAAACAGGTTGTGATCTTTCATTTGGGGATAATGTGACCCACACAAAGTGTAATCACAATTGTATGTTTATATCTAATATGATTTTATATGACCTGTTTAACAATGGACAGCAGGGGGCAGTAGATGGCAGGGTATCACTGCCGCAAAGGGGTTGGTTATTATTCACGCGTCTGCCGTAAAATGTCTGACGTGATGACGGAGCTGTCGTTAGCTTGCCATTCTGGCAAGACCCGCCAAACGAGCAGCAAAAGGCATTCTCTGCTCATAATTTCTCCTGTTCTACAGGTCAGTAATGTGTACAGATTGTCACAAATGTTATAAATCACAATGTCTTAAGTTTGAAGTGGTGTATGTGTAATGGCGGTAGCTATTTAGATGTAAGACCACCTCGTGGTGGCTGTGTGTATGTATAATGGCGGTCGCTATTTAGATGTAGTAGACTCACGCTCCCTGATGAAAGTGAATGCAAGTTAATTGTTTATAGCTCCTGTGCACTTTATTAGCTACCTATTTTCAGTGTTTATATTCCAAATGACAAGGTGTGTTCTGTATTATCGATAGCCTATGTGCAGTCGTTCTTTAATTATTGTAAATGCTTGTTAGATGCTAATGCTAGCACATTTTAGACTAATGCTAATAGTTATCCTGAAAAGGTACTTAACAGTACATTCTTATTTTTAGTCATGAAGTTAATGACATTTGGTTATAGACAAATGTGTTTATTTTGAATACTTCAAGCATGTTAAAAGTATATTTTGAAGACATGAACATATAAACATGTGTTTATATTGAGAGTAGGAAAAGGGCAAGAACAATTGTGTTTTGTTTTGTGCCAATTGTGAATAAATTCTGGCAAGACCCGCCAAACGAGCAGCAAAAGGCATTCTCTGCTCATAATTTCTCCTGTTCTACAGGAATATAATCTGTCATCGCGCCCTGCATAGCGGGGCCTGCTACAATAACTGTGTTAGGAATATATTGTGATGAAGTGCACACTGACCTGAGCTCCAGGGGTCTCTTTGTTCTCCTCCATGCTGCTCTCAGAGCTCCTTCTCCGGCTGTGTCTCTGAAATAATCAACACAACTACAGCTGACACAACACAAGACAACTCAATACAACCGACAGACACAACAAAACAAATGTACAGCTACTTCGTAGGTTCATAGCAGAGGTGAGAAGTAACTAAGTACATTTACTCCAGAACTTAAGATTCCAGTCTACGAGAAACTTAGGTTATATACGTGTTAGAGCCAGTATTTTGTTTTCATAAGAAAGGCCATGTAGTGATCACTGATTCATACACTGGGGTTACATCATTCAATCCAGGAACTAGAGGTTGGGGGTATTGTTTCGCACGGACACATATCTTGACGGTACCTCCGGGGTACCTACTGTGTGTGTGTCTCTTGCACTTTCTCTTCTGTTCTCGTGCTGCGACACGACAGCATGTGCATTTCTGCTGCTCAATAAAGTACAGATTTGCACCTTCGATGCACCGCCTCCGACTCCCTTCTCTCGGCACTACATTGGTGACCCTGACATAAGTCTCGCGAAGGATCCGAGACTGAATCGAACACGGCAAAAAGCGCAGCTTTTCTCGGAATGCCGGAGATTCTTGGAGGCGTCCGTTGCTGCCTCGTGCGCACGGACTGAGGCTCGGTGCGGCCAAGCGGGATGGCGGAGGACGTCGCTCGCCATTCCCGTTTCGTCTCGGCGCTGGAGGGCAGCAAGCCTTCCTGCTACGAGGAGACTATGCGCAACCTGCTAGGTATGGAGGGACCCGGCTTCTGCCTCGTGGAGCTGGTTCTTCGGGACATGCGGCTGCGTGTCCGGGCTGCGCTAGCTCACTCGGCTAGTGTTGAGCCCCGCGCTTTGGCCGAAGATGCTGGCCGGTTCCTCCTGGCCGCCCCGCGATTTACCCCTGAGGTGCTTGCCACTGCACGCTGCAGCACCTTCCCGGGTGGGGGCTCGCCGCCTAGCAGAGGCTCCGGGGCCGACGACGACGACAGCGACTACCGGCCGTCGAGAACGGCTAGCCTCGACTGCTGACGACAGCTAGCCACGACAGCTAGCAGCTAGCTGCTACCAACGGCTGACGGTGACTGGCAGCTACCGGCGGCTATCGACGTCCGACTGTTTTTTTATTTTTTTGTTTTTTTTTGTGGTGCCGGAGAGGAGGTTCGATCACGTCTGGTCGGCCTCGTGTGGACCCTCTCGCTATTTCGCCCACCTGTTTTTGATCGTGGACGGGACGACCCTTTGAGCTTTTTCTGGTGCCTGAGAGGAGGTTCGACTATGTCTGGTCGGCCTCGTGTGGACCCTCTCGCTGTATCACCACCTCGACGGCGGTTTCGGACGTCACACACTCCTGCTTCGGCCCGTGGGTGACGCGCTTCTGGACCCCGTCTCGCCTCTTCCCTCGCCTCGGCGGTTTCGAACGTCACCCGTGCCTTCATCGGCCCGCGGGTGGCGCGCTTCGGGACCCTGCCTGGCCTCTGCTCTAACCGCGGCTCACGGTTCGCCTCGACGGCGCCCCGTCTGGCCTCTCCCCTGCACGTCTCCCTCCTCCCGGGGACACGGCTCCTTCCTCCCGAGGACTTCATGCCCGCCGCCGCTGTGCCTTCGCCTGCGGCCGGGCAGCGCTCCTCCCTGCCGACCCTGCATTCTGCGGCCCCCTGACGACGGCCCGTTCCGGCCCGCCCCCCATCCTCTGGTGGGGATGCCCTCGCCCTCGTTGGGGCCCCTACCTTCTTCTGCGGCCCCCTGACGACGGCCCGTTCCATGGCCCGCCCTCCTCGGCCCCTGTGGTGTTTCCTCCCGGACGCGAGGATTGTGTCCATGGTTGAATTCTGGGGGGGCTTGTGTAGTGATCACTGATTCATACACTGGGGTTACATAATTCAATCCAGGAACTACAGGTTGGGGGTATTGTTTCGCACGGACACATATCTTGACGGTACCTCCGGGGTACCTACTGTGTGTGTGTCTCTTGCACTTTCTCTTCTGTTCTCGTGCTGCGACACAACAGCATGTGCATTTCTGCTGCTCAATAAAGTACAGATTTGCACCTTCGATGCACCGCCTCCGACTCCCTTCTCTCGGCACTACAGCCACCTAATTGTGACGTCTGTAGTCAACACACTATAAAAGACTACAATTCCCACAGCGCCTGCTCTAACTTGTCATCTACTAATATCTCAGTAACTTGGATCAGTGTGTATTATTGAATCACCTTTGTTGTACAGCCTGTGCTGGAAGACTGTTTTATATGCAGGCTTTTATACTGTTTTAAACCGTTTTAATATTGTATTGATACTATATTGATACTGTTTTTACCCCTGGCAGAAGCAGCTAGCTCGCATCAGCTCCGGTTAGCTCCAGTTAGCTCCCATTAGCTCCCGATAGCTCTTGTTAGCTCCCGGTGCTAACTCACCTGAACGAAGGTTGTTGTCCGGGATCCAGCCATCCCGGTGTCTCCCCCCGGTGTCCGTGTGTCTTCCTCCGGTGTCCCGGTGTCTCCTGAGGCCGCTAAACCCTCCCGGTTCTCCGGTAAATCCTCCGGAGCTGCGGAGGCCATGATGTCTGATGTTGTGGTGAACTGCCGTAAAGATACTACTTGCGAGATACTGTCGCAATATGTGAGGTGGCGGAGTACACTTAGTGACCGCCAGAGGGAGCCAAATACCTTATTAATGATAATAATAATAATAATAATAACAATAGATTACATTTGTATAGCACCTTTCAAGGGACCCAAGGCTGCTTTACATGCTGTGAACAAACAAACAAACAAACAAGCAATGAAGTATTAACACGTTAAACGTTATTGATCCCACATTGGGAATTATTTATTTACATCAGCAGCTCTCCAACATCCTCATTAATTCTCTGAATAAACGGGCCGTGTGTTAAGGAGACATTTCTGTAAAAAGATATCCATTGCTTTATATATATTTTTTCAAATGAGTTATTGTGATTGAATAGGCTACATGCACTAGGGTCTGAGACGTACTTCCGCCTTAGCCGTAATACTGCTCGGCTGCTTCCGGTTTACTTCCGGTCTGCGTAGCTGAGCGGGAGATCGTCCACAAAGGTTTTACTGTTTAAATCTATGGTTTAAATATGAGTCGACGGAAGATTTTCAAAACGGAACATTTGCAAAGACAAGTGAATAACTACTCCGAGCACTGCTGTGTCCCACTTTGTACGGCGTCAGCTAAATTCAACGACGTCCTAAGTTTCCATGGCTTTCCGACCGAACTCGAGCTGCGAAGACAGTGGCTGGTAAAAATACGGCGCGATAACTTTACAATATCCTCTCACTCCAAGGTCTGCAGTCGTCACTTCGCTACGGATCAACTAATAGAGCCAAAAACCCTTGATGGCTGTAGGAGGCTTGTGAAAGGTGCTGTACCAACTCTGTTTGAGTGGAATCACTTTACTGCTCAAACACAGCGGGCTAGTGTTTGGGAGAGAAGGGAGCGGCCCACTGAACCAGTCTCTCGGGAGGAGCAGGAAGAGCACATCGATGTCCGTGACCATGATTACTGCTCAACCCCTGAACCAGCTTCACTGGACATGTCCTCTCAAGCTACAGAAGACAACTCCAAAACAGTGGAGGATCTGCAGAAGCAACTGCAGGAGTTAAGAGTCCAGCGAGAGTTTTGCTTACAGCGGTTTGCTGGCTCCGACGACAACATCCGATTCTATACCAGGTAATGTTTTGTCTCAATTCTATCCAAGTTTTTGAGATGGGTTAGCTTATAAAGAATCCTGTTTACCTGCCGTGTGACCGCTGACTATATGCATGCAGTGTTGGGATATTTTATTTATTTAATCGTTTATTTGGCAGGGACAATGCACAGTAATGAACACTTACAACATTAAAATGTATCAAGCGTAACAGTGCCAGATTTAGCTTTGAGCTAATTTCCATCCGCAGTCCCTCACATTAAACATTTAAGAAAATTACATTTTACAAACATGGTAAAAACAAAATACATGATATGCAAAAAGTGCAAAAGAGCAAGAGCAGCATACACAAGTATTTACCACATGGCAGTACAATATAGCAGCTACGACATATAAAGTGCAAGAGAAGATAAAAGTGCTAGATAAAGTGCAAGAGGAGATACCCCTGTGTTAACGGAGAGGACATTTTGACCAAAAGTGGTCCGTCTGTGGTGGAGTTCAGTCTCCTCTGGTTTCTGACCTAGTGCAGCGTCCAGTGTGTTTTTTGTCAACTTAACTGAAGTATAAGTACAAATACTATGGTTTTAAAATACTCCTGAACTGAACATGTAGAATCATAAATCATGTGTTTTCATATATAAAAAGTAACTAGAAACTATGAAGGTTAACTAAATGTGGTGGAGTAAAACATACTAATACTAACAACATACTGATAATACTTTACTACAAGTGGAAATCTTCAAAACCTTACCAAAGTAAAAGTATGTCAATATCCACTGCGTTTCCCCCAGTTGCACACTTAAGAATGAAGAGTAAAAGTAGTCATTGTGTGTAAAATGTTCCCTGTATGTTTTAGATTATTATTACTGCTGCTTTAATGTAGTTGTTACATTTTACTGCTGTATATTACTATACCTGCACCAAGTGCCTTCTTAATCAGTTTGAATCGTAATGTATTATAGCAAACAAGAAGAAAACATTAGCCCATGTGTTACAGTTAACACGATTGTATTTACTGTCAATTAATGACTGACATGTGTCTTTTGTGTACAGATTCCCGAGCTATAACCACCTGATGGCCTTCTGGTCTTTGATTGAGCCTTCAATTCATAAAATGGTTCGTGTTACAAGAGCGATATCAGCTGCCAAGAGGAATGAAGAAGTGGTTACACACGCACGTCCATCAACGGTAGGCTACGTTTCTTTTAACACACAATCTAAACACAAACTGAAGGGAAAATGTTTCTCCGACATTTCATTGCTTTTGTGTAGGCTAAAAGGCTAAAGTACTCAATCCTTTTTGAATACATCAGAGAACTAAAACAACTTCATGTTTTTCCCATAGTGTGCTACACTCATGACATTAATATAGTAACCTTTTTTTGTTTTTATCTTCCAGAGACAGCTGCTTCAGCCAATTGACGAGTTCTTTCTTTTTCTATGCTTCCTGTCGGTGGGTTTGAAAGAGAGGGACCTTGCAAACCGCTTCAACGTACACCAGTCCACTGTGAGCCGCATCATTGCAACATGGACACGTTTTCTTACAACTTTATTGGGGTCACAGTGCATCTGGCTTACACCTGCAGAAGTTCAAGCCCACCTCCCAGAGGCATTCAAAGATTTCCCAGACACACAGGTGATCCTGGATTGCACAGAGCTGAGGTGTCAAACACCATCCTCACTCCTCCTCCAAAGTGAAATGTATTCTACATACAAATCTCACTGCACCATGAAAGCCCTGGTTGGCATAGCCCCACATGGCGCAGTGACATTTGTTTCCAGTCTGTATGGTGGTTCTGTCAGCGACAAGGAGATTTTCAAACAATCTGGAAGAGCTGCGTTGTTGACTGAAAACATGGCAGTGATGGTAGATAAGGGCTTCCTGATCAGCGATTGCTGCAAATGCAAGGTGTACTGCCCACCTTTTCTGTCACAGCAGAAGCAAATGCCAGCCTATCAGGTGAGGGAGACACAGGCCATTGCCAGACTGAGGGTTCATGTGGAGCGTGTCATTAGGAGGATAAAAGAGAACAAGCTTTTTGATGGTGTCATCCTCCTGTCCCATGCCTACAACATCAACCAACTGTTTGCAGTAGCATGTATGCTGTCAAACTATCAGAACAAAGCACTGGTCAAGAAATGGGTGAAATAAGACAAGATGATGACACCTGTGCAGGTAGCTGTGATTAAGCTGGGTGAGCACACCGTAATCCCGTGTTGCCTAACACACGCTAGTGTTTTGTTTGAATAAATGGTAAATTGCAAATTACAATGTGTTGATGATTTCTTACAAATGCAATGATTTACTATTAATTACAAAAAATCACTTCACTTTATTGTCTTTTTAAATACAATTGTATATTTATTTACATATATGAAATGTGACAAACAATATATATCAAAAAATATCAAATACAATATTGAAATCACATTTTGTTGTCATTCAGAACATATGATTGAGGGATTGCCTCCTAAAAAACAGCTGAGCCAGGGTCTAGCAGCTAACTGCTTACAGAGTTAACAATGGCTACAGTGCCCACTACTTTTTTAATGACAGGTACTTCGGCATGTATGTGTAAAAAAAAAAAAAAAGTCTACTTTTTCTCTGATTGCTCTTTGCACTTCTGGATCTGTGTATATTCTTTGCACCAGGTAGTCTTCCTGTGCCCACACTACAAAGTCACACCACTGCATCCCAGATACAAGAAGTTGACCCTGTACTTGCCAGTAATAGGCATGGCTTTTCTTGAGCTTAGGGGAGCCACATTCCATCTGCACATATTTGCAGTCGACATAATTTGGGACATTGGGACATTTGAATTCAACAAGGCCAAATTGGGGATATTCTGTTGGGTCAAAAACAACTCCATCAGGGGAGGCACCAAGCCAGGGCGTAGAGGGGTGAATGACAAGGCCACAAGGGGAGTAGTTCACGTTTGCCAGTCTACTGTATTCAGCTGCTACTGTGGGCTCCATCTCTGCACCTCTCCTCATTTCTGCAGTCTGCCTTGTACCTTTGAGTATTCGCTCTGCAAGAGAGTTAGCAGAGCTCTCACCTCTGACGTGACAAATCTCTCTAAACCTAGAGGCAGTAACCCTGGGTTTGCGGAGCAGATGCCACTCTGAGCTAGAGCTTTGCTCACGGGTAGCCTCCTCAATTTTGTGAGACATTTCCAAATCAACAGATAAGCTGTTCATATGTAGTTGCTCCTCTTCTGAGCACACCAGCGGGAAATCACATGGCAAGATCACATACCCCTCTATGGGCAAGTGGGGTGTTGGTGGTGTGTCAGTGTGAAGTGTGGTGTACCGAGACGTCAAAGCAGGCATCTGATAGGACAGAACACTGCCCTCCTGCACCATCCCGAAGGCACTTTCCACAAGGGGCTTGTCAGATCTCATGTTCATTGTGGTCACAAGCGGTCTGTCTTCAATGCTGAATGCTGAGTATGCCTCCGTAACTCTGAACAGGCAGGGATCTGGTAATGGCCCCACCATGCCTCTGTAGAATCCACTCCTACAGAGAATGGCAAAGACAATATAGCACATTAATGTGACAATAAAGGTAAGGAATACAGCACCTGAATAGCATTATGAATTTTAAAAACACAGGAAACACAATTTTTCAGCTAAAATTACCTTACTCCAGTCTGCACCATCCTATTTGGTACAGGCTTGGTGAAGACCATGGAGTTGATGGGCCCTGGCTTCACACCCTTAAGGAAAAGACAATTACTGTTAGTTGAGTCACTTTAAAACAAAAACTTGGTGAAAGAAGTATTTGAACCTTATTGAAATTACCATTGTTCGCGGCTTGTGCCATTGCTGTTCCGATTCAGTACAGCTATGCACAGGCGGCACAACTGGCATGTTCAGTTCAGTGTAGTGTGCCGTTTGGAACAGCAATGCTACTGTGTGATTGCACAAAACAGTTCCTGCAACACAGGAGCACTGGTTGTGCGTGAGCACCACTGGTGATGAATCACGAAGCGTTATCTAAAAAAGAGAGAAGAAATACTAGTGATTAGTAACCTCACTTGTGGTAAATGAGCCAGGAGGTTATGCGTAGAATTATTGGTTATTTTTACTGACCCATTATCCTAGAAGAAGCATGTATTCCTGAATGCTTAGTGTTACCCTCTAACCCTACAATACCACAATGAACCTTCTTTGGAAACTAAGATGCCTTGAAAATTGTATTAAAGCAGTTTTGACTATATATTTGAACCCCCAAACTTACACATCCATAATCAATGTAATAATATCTGACCAATCAGCTGTGATAAAGCAGGGAGAAGTAGGACACTGTTGAGATTCCCTTAAGGTAAACTAATGCTTAACTGAACTGAAACTCAATAAACAGGGGGGAACACAGTGTCAATGCTGCCTGCCTACACTCAAACTGTGTGCTGTCTCGCTCTTCCTCATTGACCTGTAGCACAAGGCTCTCACGCTGACCTGCCCTGTCAGCCTGTCTTTATTGGACACTGAATGAAGAAAAACAGAGCAACAGCGTTAGATCTATACTCACGTCAAAACATCTATGGCAACATTGCTTTACAAAAGCTGATACCATTATGCAGTGTGGCTAACAACAAGACAACCTTTAGTAGGCTAGGCTATAAGGCTATTAACACTAGAACCGCCAGAGATTTTCAAGGTAAAATGTTCTTTTATTGAACAGAGAGTTTTGATCGCACAGGGATGAAAACGTATACCAATATAATCTGTGGACTCTCAGGGCTCGACATTATAAATGTCCCGCTGGGCCGGAAGCATTATTTAGACACCGCGGCCAGCATAACGTACTTTCAACTCGCCCCACAGCTGTTTGCTGCGGAGCGCAGTGCGAGCAGTCTCCCGTGAGCGGGAGCACACTCCTTCACTACACTCTCTCTCTCTCTCTCTCTCTCTCTCTCTCTTCTCTCTCTCGTCTCTCCTCTCTATCTCTCTCTCTCTCTCTTCTCGTCCTCCTCTCTCTTCTCATGCTCTCCGTCCTCCTCGCTCTCTTCAAGTCTCTCTCCTCTCGCCTCTCTCTCCCAGTCTTCTCTCTCTCTCTCTCTCCTCTCTCTCTCCCTCCTCGAACTCTCTCTCTCGTCTGCTCCTCTTCTCTCTCTATTCTTATCTATCTATAACATAACTATCTATCAATATATCGAATCCATCGATTCTCGCTCTCGCTCAATCTATCTCGCAATCGATAAGGCAGGAACCGCAGTAAGACAAAGAGGGAACATGGCTTGCTATAAAAGCAACGATGTCATGTTTATATGAAAAGGGGTGGGGTCAATATGACCCGCTTGGCGGAAATAGGTATAAATGGCAATTTTTTGGGTGATTTCTTCAATCTGACTTCATATTGACAATTTTTAACAACAGAGGGTGGTACATAACACACTTTCAGGAAAATTCACGGACTGGGAGACTTTAATATTTTATTGAAAAAAAGTTACATCAAATATAAAACAGCTCGGGGTCAAATTGACCCCGTTGGCGGTTCTAGTGTTAAACGATAGTATTTTTGAGTAAAATGGCTAATGTTTTAAAGAATTAACACCAGAAACAGTACATAGCGTTATAGTAGTCTACTATAGTAGTAGTAGTAGTAGTAGTAGTAGTATAATAGTAGTTCTACTATAGGGCTCTGGCGTTACCTAGCTTTTGACAGCTGACGTTAGCGTAACCTGTAGCATAAGCTAGCTGGTTAGTACCTGTTACTCCAGTTACCTTCTTACCTTCATAGTTGTGTATATATGACGCAGCATATAATTTGAAGCCTTTATCGAGTTTGCTGGCTGGGGCTTTAGTCGTCCTGCAAATGCGATGAACATCGCTAATTTTCAATTTCGGGAGCTCTTGTAGACACCGGGTGTAGAACGTCGCCATTGTTGTTGTTGTACCGGAAACAGTTGGGCAGTACTACGCACAATGCAGAAGTGACTGTGCATGTAGCCTATTGTGCAGGTCTGCGTCGGTCTCGCTCATCTCAAACAAGCATAATGTCCAAGCGTTTCCTGTTTACGGTCGTTTGATTCTCTGTTTTGAGAATAATAAAATAAGATAATAAAAATGATAAAATAATAAAATATAATAAAATAAAAATTATGAAATAAAAATTCTAATAAGACAATAATAATAATAACAATAATAATAATACAATAAATAAAATAAAATAACAATATATAATTCAATCACAATAACTAATTTGAAAAAATATATATAAATAAATGTGGATATCTTTTTACTGAAATGTCTCCTTAACACACGGCCCGTTTATTCAGAGTATTAATGAGGATGTTGGAGAGCTGCTGATGTAACTAAATAATTCCCAATGTGGGATCAATAATGTTTAACGTGTTAATACTTCATTGCTTGTTTGTTTGTTTGTTGACAGCATGTAAAGTGGCCTTTGGTCCCTTGAAAGGCGCTATAAAAATGTAATCTATTGTTATTATTATTATTATTGATAAGGTATTTGGCTCCCTCTGGCGGTCACTAAGTGTACTCTGCCACCTCACATTTTGCAACAGTACTAGTGTCTTTACGGCAGTTCACAACAACATCAGACATCAAGGTGCAATCTCCTGATGATATAGAGTGTATTATAGTGGAAATCTGCAACCCTAGGAAACAAGATAACATTAGGATAATCAATTTATACAACCCATGTAAAAATCTAACCACTGATATATTTAAAGAAATAGCAGGCAATAAACATAGGAAGGAAGTTTGGTGTGGTGATTTCAATGCACACAACAGTCTATGGGGCAGCAACCATACAGAAAGTAACGGAAATATAGTGGAAGAAATGCTGGAGGAAAGAACACTAGTATGCCTTAATGATGGACATGGCACAAGAGTAGATGTACACAGGGGGAAAGTCTCATGCCTGGATCTGACATTAGTGTCAAACTGTTTGGTTCATACATGCGAATGGTTTGTTTTGAATAACTCCACAGTAGGAAGTGACCATTATCCAGTGCTTACTAAAATGAATACTAATGTATATATACAGGAAGGAGGTGTAATAACCAGGTGGTGCTTTGCTAAAGCTGATTGGGGGAAATGTAGGATATGGTGTGAGGAGTCGGTACACCTGCTAACATCAGAGGGAAGCATAGAGGTCATTACAAGCCAAATAACGCAACATATTCTAAATGCAGCAGAGAACAGTATACCCAAAACAACAACCAAGGGTAGGAAGAAAGTGGTGCCATGGTGGAATGAGGAATGCAGCAGGGCTATTAAAGAGCGAAATAATGCATTTAGAGAATTAAAGAAAAACATGACACAAAATAATGTTATAGAGTTTCAAAGGAAAAGGGCAGCTGCTCGACGGACAATCAAATACACAAAAAAAACAACATGGAGAGAATTTTGTTCTACCATTGGCAGAGGAGTAACATTAGGTGATGTCTGGTCCATGTTTAAGCGGATGAGTGGGAAAAGGAAATCCATTAAAATTCCAGCTTTGGTTGATGGGGAGAGGCTGGCAGTGACAGATAAAGAGAAGGCAGATATGTTAGGAAGGACACTTGCAGCAGTACATAGCGGGGAACATCTCAGTGATATTCATAGGCAGCAAAAACAGCAGTTACTAGCAGAGAATGAAAACGTGAAGGAGAAGAGACAGGATAATAGGTCAGCTCTTGATGTGGAATTTACAATGTCAGAACTCAAAATAGCCTTACAAGGTACAGGTTATACAGCCCCAGGACAAGACCAGCTATGTTATGCTATGTTTAGACAGTTGCCTATGGAAACTATGACAATGGTGCTGAGTCTTTTCAATAAAATCTGGAGAGAAGGAGATATGCCAAGTTTGTGGAAAACAGCAGTCGTGCTACCATTCAATAAGCCAGGGAAAGATACAGCTAACCCTAGTAACTACAGACCAATAGCTCTTACATCACACCTATGTAAATGGATGGAAAAGATCATTGTCCGTAGGCTCTCACATGTACTGGAGCAGAAAGGGCTGCTGAGTAGTTTTCAGAGCGGATTTCGTAAAGGGCGGTCCACAATAGATGCTTTAGTAAGAGTGAGTAATGATGTGGAAAAAAACATTGAAAATGAAAGAGATAATGGCAATAGTGTACTTTGACATTGAAAAGGCGTATGACTGTATGTGGAGGGATGGGTTACTGATCAAATTGAGTAGAATGGGTATTGGAGGGAGAATGTACAATTGGGTAAGGGCCTTTTTAACAGACAAGACATTTAGAGTAAAGGTTGGAGCAGATATTTCCAATTATTTTGAAATAGAAAATGGTATCCCCCAAGGGAGTGCAGTCAGTCCAATATTATTTAACATCATGATTAATGATATATTTACATGTTTAGACACATGCATTCAATCGGCTCTATACGCAGATGATGGGGCTATTTGGATGAGGGGAAGAAATGCCCCATACGTAATGGAGAATATAGCTAGAGCGATTAAAAAGGTGGAGAGGTGGTCATATAACTGGGGATTCAAAATGTCAGAAAGCAAGTCATGCTACATGGTATTCACAAACAAACGCAAGATTGATGGCCAACAGCTAACACTATATGATCGTCCAATGACAAAGGTGAATGAGTTCAAATACCTAGGACTGTGGTTTGATAGCAAATATACATGGAAAATGCATATTAAACAAGTGGAAACAAAATGCAAAAAAGTATTACATTTATTGCGAGCTGTAGCTGGATGCAACTGGGGCGCAGACAAACAAGCATTAATAAACATTTACAGATCAATTATGAGGTCCACAATAGACTATGGTTGTATAGTGGAGCAGCAGCAAAAACATCGCTTTTAAAAATGGATAGAATACAATATAAAGCATTGCGGTTGTGTATTGGAGCGATAAAGTCATCCCCTATCAATGCAGTTCTGATAGAAGCAGGAGAGACACCTCTGGAGATCAGAAGAGAGACACTTGCTCTGTCACACTGGGTCAGGCTACAAGGAAGTGGAGAAGAAAATATTTCAAACAGAATATTACAGGATTGCTGGGAATATGCAAAATTCCAGGGACGTGGGTTTGGCTGGACGAGTAAGGAGAGAACGAGGGCATATGGAGTGGAGAATATCACGTTTGCTAAAGCAACCCCATTTAGCAGTGTTCCTCCATGGCTTTTCCCGAAGCTAAAATAGATATGAGTATTGTAGAAAGGAAAAAAGAGTGGCAAATAAATGAAGTGGGAATTAAAACAAGTATGTATCTGAATGAAAAAGTATTACAATTGCCTACACATTTACACAGATGGTTCTAACAACAAGGAAGAGTGTGTTGGAGTTGGTGTATACATCCCAGAATTTAAAATATCTATTTCAAAAAGAGCGTCTGATCAATTATCAGTGTACACAGCAGAAATGCTTGCTGTAATAATAGGATTACAGTGGGTTGAAGAGGTCAGACCAGATAGGGTGGTGATGTGCACAGATTCATTATCCAGTTTACAAAGCATACAATCAACAACAACTGCCAGAGAAGACATTCTCATAGAACTGAATCACAGCCTGTTAAGACTGCACAGAGGCGGCATAGATCTGCAGTTCTGCTGGGTGCCTGCTCATGAGGGGGTGAAAGGGAACGAGTGTGCTGATAAATGAGCAAAAAGTGCACTACAAAAGGAAATAACATTACCAGTTCAACTTGGAGAAGGAGAAGGGAAAGCAGTAATTAAGAAGAAAGGGATGGAGATCTGGCAGAAAAGGTGGGAGAAAGACCAGAAAGGCAAAGAATATCACAAAGTACAAAAGACAATTACAATTCATATTTATAAAGAAAGAAACAGAATGGAGGAAATCACGATCGCTAGATCATGATTTAATCAGAATAAATCACACGGCTTTGAATGGTACTCTGTATGTCATGGGGAAAAGTGACAGTGACAAGTGTGGGAGCTGTGGAGTAAAAGAAGATGTAGAACATATCTTGATACATTGTGACATATATAAAGCGGAAAGAGAAAAACTAAAGGCTAAAGTTTTAGAGGCAGAGAGGGAATGGAGTGTGGTTGGTGTTTTGGGAACAAAAGGAGAGGGAGTAAGAGCTACCAGAAAGGCACTGTTTACATTCTTGAGTGAAACTGGGATAGGAAAAAGAATTTAACATTAGGTCAGGAAAGAACATAGATTTTTATTTTTGTTTTATTTATTTCATGTTTTTTGTTGATTTATTTATTTATTTAGATTAGATCATAGGTTAAAGAGTTGGTATGATATGATGATTCATACTCATGTACAGTAGGGGGCGGTATGCACCTTTTAAGTTGTTTGCAATCCGCCAAAAACGAAGAGAAGAAGAAGAAGAAGAACATCAGACATCATGGCCTCCGCAGCTCCGGAGGATTTACCGGAGAACCGGGAGGGTTTAGCAGCCTCAGGAGACACCGGGACACCGGGGGAAGACACACGGACACCGGGGGAAGACACCGGGACACCGGGGGAAGACACACGGACACCGGGGGGAGACACCGGAATGGCTGGATCCAGTAAAACAACCTTCGTGCAGGTGAGTTAGCACCGGGAGCTAACAAGAGCTATCGGGAGCTAATGGGAGCTAACTGGAGCTAACCGGAGCTGATGCGAGCTAGCTGCTTCTGCCAGGGGTAAAAACAGTATAAAAACAGTATTAATATAGTATTAAAAACTGTATTCAAACTGTGTTTAAAACGGTATGAAAACAGTATCAATATAGTATAAATACAGTATTAAAACTGTTTTAAACGGTATAAAAGCCTGCATATAAAACCGTGTTTCAGCACAGGCTGTACAACAAAGGTGATTCAATAAATACACGCTGGTCCAAGTTACTGGGAGATATTAGTAGATGACAAGTTAGAGCAGGCGCTGTGGGAATTGTAGTCTTTTATAGTGTGTTGACTACAGACGTCACAATTAGGTGGCCTTTCTTATGAAAACAAAAATACTGGCTCTAACACGTATATAACCTAAGATTCTCGTAGACTGGAATCTTAAGTTCTTGAGTAAATGTACTTAGTTACTTCTCACCTCTGCTATGAACCTACGTAGTAGCTGTACATTTGTTTTGTTGTGTCTGTCGGTTGTATTGAGTTGTCTTGATTGATCATGAAAGTGTTCTCAAAGCTGGTAAAGGTGCAGCTAGTTTGAATGACTTTGTATACTGCAGGGTAGCTTGTGAATTTACTCCAGGTGGAACTAAAGTCTGATTTAACACTTGATTATATTTCACATCACACATCCACATCTGTAAAGTAACCTTGAACCTAATATTTAAAAGAAAAGGTTTAAAAAAGGTATAAACAACATGTATAGCCTCAATGTCCTGAAATAGCTGAGTAAGTTAATAGTGGAATGGTTTGTGCAGCTGAAAGTAGGCTGAAGGAGTTAGATATTAAATGTAAGTAGTAGTTAATGCATTTTACATCTCTTACAGCAGAGTCACCCACAATCAGAGTTTCAGGCCTAGTCGTTAGCTTTCCCTCTAGCCTTTTACTTTTGGAGTAGCTATTGGTCCTTACCCTGCTGTGTGAAGAGGACAGGTTATCCAGCTCATCAGAAAGAGATCTCCGGTTCTGTGTCAGTGGAGCGTATCTGTTCTGGATTGGCACACTTGGTGGTTTAGGAGGATTGTTTGTAGTTCTCCCTTTAGCAGCTGTCCACGGCTGCTTCCTAGTATGAATAGGGGTTGAAGCGGCGCTCTTCCTGGGTGATAACAATGCAGGCCAGCCGGTCGCATTACAGATTTCAGAGCAATGGGCTCTGCCTGTTATTCGTTCTCCCAAATCCCATGGAAATGATTTACTCTTCGGCCTTGCACCCAGAGAGTTCGAGGGAGGACTACCACTTGTAGATTTACCCGGTACACAGCCCTGCTGTTCCTTGGAAACCTTGTAGCTGCTAGCTAGCTGTAAGTTAGCATGCCCTTTTCCATTCTTTTGCACTGGTAAAGTGGTGTCATTCCAACCTAGTCTATTCACTTCCACGTTAGCTTCCAACCGTTGCATTTTCATTTCCAACACTGCCATCTTCTTCTTGATTATTTCAGAGACACAGCCGGAGAAGGAGCTCTGAGAGCAGCATGGAGGAGAACAAAGAGACCCCTGGAGCTCAGGTCAGTGTGCACTTCATCACAATATATTCCTATCACTGTTATCCCCAAATGAAAGATCACAACCTGTTTATAAAATACAATATGAATGCCCAATATGGTTAGATATAGGTTAGAACGTTGTTGTATACGATACGATAAAACTTTAATGATGTGACTTGCATCACAGCAGCACCATGTGTAACATCAACATAAACAAATATCAAGACACAATAAATGAACAACAAACATTTAACATAACAGCAGGATCAGTGAGAGACAACCTGCTCAAAGAGCCTTCAGCGTGCTTTTGATCTGGATTCAGCTCTGTATTTACTGAGAGGACTGACTGGAGCACAAAGGATGCTTCAGTCTGACTTTATTGAATCTCCATTAGATGGTAGCAGTTCATATTCTCTGTTCAGGGGCCTCATTTATAAAACTTTGCGTAGGATTCACGTGGGAAGGTGGCGTACGTAGGACAAAGCAAGTACATACGCACACAAATATTCCGATTTATAAAACACTGCGCATGCACGTCCTACGCCGGGACAATCACAATCAACTCGAAATGCGGCGCAGCTTCTGCGGGCTTCACGTAACGCCCATATTTGCCTATAAATAGTCAAAGAAACTCCCGTATTAATATTCATTCAGACTGACTGCAGGAAGAAGATCGCAGGAAATGAGGACAGAACATCTAAAAAATACTTTTCACACCGAGTCAGATTTTGGTTCTTTTGGGGAGGTGGAGACAAATCATATTGTTTGGTGGATGCAGTTTGAACCAGAGTAGCAGCATGGAGGTCGGATCCTCACCAAAATAAATAAATAAGTAGTCCGAAAAAAGTGAATGACCAAAAAAAATACACATAACCTTCCTCAGGCAGTGTGTCGATGGGTGTTTCTCAATGTCAAGGAAGGATCCTTCAAAGCCACTATTTCAAGGATGCTATGTCATCGAATCCCGCCGAAGGACTCCAATGTCCAGGATCCTTGGAATTCTACCGAGGACTGAGTCCTTCGTTGCAGGAAATGTCAAGGCTGCTCATGTGGATCATCGGCGGTCTTAAATTACCCACAATTCTTTGCGCACGGACGAATTTCCAAAATCTTTGGCGAACAATGGCTGAATCCAGGCAGTAGACATTTAAATGTAAGTATGTTCAGTGGCGTAGAAAATGTGTTTGTTACATTTGTTATCACCATAAATGTGTTCCGTGAAAGTAAAGCAAGTTCATAATTAGCTTGTCTACATAGTTCAGCATAGCGGATTTAAATTAACCTTAGCGATGCATACAGTTACTACCTGCATAATAAAATATCTCTCTAAGTTACAAGGATGACCTTATTTTATCAACCTCAAACAGAAGCCGTTTGTTCTACAGTATTATCCCACTTAACGCTTAACACTTGTCTATTTACATTTAACCTTTATACAGTCAATGGTTTTTACTTGCAGGCTACGATTAGCATCGTTAGCACAGATGTAGCTACCACTCGCTTACACGCTAACCCTTAACATTCATTACGTAGCATAAACACATAAATAAGTACTCGAATTTCACTTACCGCAAAACCGCATTCATGCACCGTCTGTTTTAACCGCAGAGCGACTCACAATAGTCCGATATAAGCATGAAGACACGGACCGTTAGCCCCGCAGTCATCCGGTTCGACCTGACTATGGCTGTGACTGTGACTGACCCGAGCCTCGTCGTTCTGATAGCCCCGCCCCTCCGCTCCAACCCCCCTCCCTCCCCCCACATCTACAGGTGAAAATTACTTTAGCGACACATTCGTCGCAAGAAGTGTAGCAAAAGTCAAGGCCGCAGATTCGTCGATTTATACTGCCACAGAGCAGATTCGTGAAGTTGTAATGACTGATTTGAGAGGTTGTAATAACCAAGTTGCAGTTGTAATGGAAAATATATTTAAAAAAAATATATTTTTCTGCAAGTGAACATTTCATCACTAAGTTCATTTCTTTTCTACAAGCTACAACACTTTTTTTTTCCTTCTGTGACTTCAAATGTGGTTCACAGATACGTGGATATTTTATACAAGTGTAAATGTATGCACACAAGCTCAGATATCTTTTCTGCAAGTGCTCACATCAGGTTTTACACGCTCTCGCATTTTGCACCATATCTACCTTCACAGTTTATCCTCCAGAACTTTTTCAAGGCTGCAAACAGGAGAACATTTTATGTTAGTTTAGTGGTTCAGTCCTGGAGAGATTATCATTTTACAAAATACAGTTACTCAAGTACATAAGCAGATTGTGACATGGGATTTGAGCAATGTTCTTCACCTGTGCAAAATAGTCATGGTCCAGTGGAGCAACAGCAAGTGCGGACACCTCGTTCACAAGGGTGGTGGATGAGGTGGTGGCCGCCATGCTGCTCCACTCTCACTTTCCCCACCACCTTCATGCGCAGTAGGTGGCTGGTTGTCCTCCTCCAGGGCGGCATCTTCTGGAGGTTGGTCGTCCCCAACCCCGACACATATATTGTGTACAATTGCACAGGCTGTCACAACCTGTGCACAAGGCAGAGCAGAAAACGGACAAAACAAAGTGTGAGGCATAGTATTTTATGTGACTATGCAATTGTTAGGCATTAAGACAGTCTTAGTATAGCAGGATAAGGATATTAGGATTTCAATTAACTAATTTGCTACAGAAACATTAGAATGATTCATTACCTTGAGGACAAACTCATGATGTACTTCAAGTGCTTCTAAGAAGATGCACCTGAAGCGGGTTATTATCACCCCAAGCGACCCCTGGAGTGATGGTAATTAAACCGTTGTTCTGCCATGCCTCTCACTGGCCTCTTATATGGTGTGATAAGGGCCAAGGGTACCTGTAGACATGGGTAGCCACCATCAGCTAGGATGAAATACCCTGGTGGAGGGTAAGTACCCCTAGCGTAGATGGAGCTGTTCTTAACCTGTTACGCACCATCCGCCCGGTACCGGGCGGATAAACGCGTCATTTGCAGGAAACAACGTCTAAGGAATCTTAATATTTAATAAAACTATGAATGTTTTATATCCATGTAACGGGAAGAAACTCAGCTAACTGATCTTTTTAAAAAAAAATCTCCAAAAAAAAACCCCACAATGCTAGCACTCAGCCTCTGAATTAGCCACGAGCGAAAAAATGTAACCTAAAACGGCACTTAAACTCACAATAACTCCCTTATTACTTATCCTAGATGCACAGCCAACCACTCGTTTTTGGTGTCCTGGAGACACTGAATCTAGGGGTGCCCACCTCAACACTCAGTGATAAACATTTGCGACGCTATAAACGAAAGCGTACATCATAACATGTGGAGCTAAGTAGCTAGAAACGCTAACATGGCTTACCTTGGTCAAAACTGGTCTTCAATGGCATTAAAACGATAAAAACGATGCTGCAGTTAATCCATAGGTTCATCCAATGTATCTGTGCCCTCTTTGAAATTATTTCTGATAATCCATAAGCAATAAAACTGCTTTTCGTTTCCAAATGCCAGAGCTAGAAATCCTTCACTCTGCTGCACATTTACATGCGCGCAACCCCCACCTTTTCTCTTCACAATGTGTGTGTGTGGGAGCCTCCCCCTTCGATTATATTGGCTCTAACGGTCAGAAAGAGGTGTCAACCATCAAAATCGAGCAAGGGGGGCCAGAGATATGGAAAAAAAAACATTTTCACCCAAATCACCTCAAAGGTGGGGTGGTTTTGGCTAAACCTCTCTAAAAAGGTCAAATGTCACTTGTTTTGCATCAATCTTGATACATGGTGCTTATTATATGTTGTACTTTGGATTCCTCAAGCTTTTAGTCTACTAACCCATCATCCAAGGGTAGTTTTCACTATCTGTAACACTATAATTTACAGTTTTTTACTATGTAAAATCTGAATTTTCTTTAAAATAAAAAACATTTATATTGATTCTGACACTTCTACATCCAACTCACAGATGTAACCTTGCTTTGATAAAAGAAATTATTCATATAACCCTTTCAGAAGTTAAGTTGTAGTCATTTGTTTTGGGCATGTCATTTTCGAGCCTGAAACATGAAAAACAGGCTTGGTGCTTAACAGGTTAAGGATCCGTGCATCAAGCAAGGATCCTGGGTAACCCACACAAATGTCCACAAAGTGTCCCTGATGCCCTGCAACACAACTGGATGTGGCAGCTGTCAATTACCCCAGCTGCCTTGCGAAAGGCTTGGTGGTGAGCCAACCGGGCAAAACCATCACCAACCACCTCCACGTGCGGGAGACGGACAAACTGGGGCAAGAAGGCCACCACCTCATCCACCATCCTGTGGACGGACGGCAGATACACATCGAAGACACGGGAGACTACTCTGTAAGCGGAGCCACTGGCAACCCAAAACAGAAACACCAGGGTCTCCAGAGTTGGCCCCCATCCGTGTTGCCTCTCCGTCTTCAGCGCCACTAGGAGCTGCTGGGTGGCCTCCCTGCCCAGCCGAAAGTCAGGGCGGGGGTCCTCGTCTGCAAAATCTCTCTGGAGGACTGGCACAGTGGCATTAATAATGCAGTAATGATGGGCCTGCACAACATAAAGAATAGAGGGCAGTTTCAGTTTACTTGACATTTGTTTATTGTTAACCTGTTAAGCCCTGAGCCTGTTTTTCAGATTTCTTCACTTCTAAAAGGGGAAAATTAATAATCTTTTTTCTCAAAGCAATGATAAACCTGTGAGTCGGATGTAGAAAAGTCAGAATCAATATAGATGTTTTTATTTTAAAGTAAATTCAGATTGAACATAGTAAAAAAATGTAAATTATAGTGTCCTTCCAAAAAAAAAACATTACTTAGAGTGAAAACCACCCTTGAATGATGAGATAGTAGACTAAAAGCTTTAGGAATCCAAACTACAACATATAATAAGTACCCTGTATCAAGATTGATGCAAAACAAGTGAAATTTGACCCTTTTAGAGAGGTTTAGAAAAGAAACCCACCTCTGGGGTCATTTGGGTGTATTTACCATATCTCTGGAACCCATTGGTCGATTTTGATGATTGACACCTCTTTTTAACCATTAAAGCCAATAGAACCGAGAGGGGGTTCCTAAATCCATCTAAACATTTCCATTGGTGAATGAGTGATGCGCAGCCAGCATGCCCAAAACCGGAAGCTGGGTTACGCTCGCATACACTCTATATGAAAACTCCGGTTATTGACATAAATGTTATGATGGATTATCAGTAATAATTTCAAAGTGACACAGAAACATTGGATTAACCTTCAGCAGCGGTTATATGCATTGTAATGCCATTGAACACAACTTTTGATCAGAAAACAGCAAAGGTAAGACGTATTTGCCGTTTTGGCCACGTAAAGGGAAGTTGTGTGTTGGCCTTCGCTGCCGTGAGTTCTGATCGCACAGTGATGATACTTATACCATTGGAATCTGTGGAATCTCAGCTTTCATATTATATTCAGCCCTAACCCTTTGCAGATCCGATGAAGTATAACATATTTCTACCGTGAGTTATGTGCTAAGTGCGTTAGCACTCTTTCGCTTAGTGCTAATTTAGAGACTCGGTGTTAGACTTGTGTTTTGTTTCGGTAAATGTTTCATATCGTCAGTTAGCTGAGTTTCTTCTCGTTAAGTGGGTATGACACATTCATAGTTTCTTAAATGTATGAAGCCCTCAGACGCTGTTGCTGCCCGGGCTTAACAGGTTAATGGTTATTTTTTGGCGTGTGTTTACATTATTAAAAAAACAATTTCAATGTGATTACACATTTTCTCCATATCGATAAATGTTAGAACGGATATAAACATGCACAAACTATATATGTGACCTGCTCTATAGAAATCAGTCGCATTGACCCGAAGACACATTTTGAGTTGTATACACTGTTGGAAAGAGGAGATTCCTAGCTTTCTAATGATATCATGATTGTTTTTGGACTCCAAATATTAAGCAAATTATGTCACATTATATAATGACTGTTACAGTCATCATTTTGAGAAAAAGGCCTTCAAAGTTTCCTCTTCTCTGGAATCCATCGATCTGATTGATTATTAGCGGAGCAAATGATCAAAGTAGTACGGAGGGAAAATATTTTAGTTTGGATTACTGGTCTGGGGGAAGCTCGCGAGTGTGTGTGTGTGTTTGTGTATTTTTGCGTTTGTTTCCCGGGGAAAACACTCACGAGAAACACCGGCTGTTGTTATGCCTGCTGTGACGTCAAGTTACTCCGTTCTCCGCTTGTAATTATGCCGTTACAAGCTTCATAGTTGTATTTATCATCTGAATTTGCCGAAACAAGTTAAATATTCTGAAAGCCAAGACTTTGTTTATTGGAAATCAGATGAAAACAAACTGTAACGGACCCTGCTGTGTTATCTATGATTACTATACGCCTTACATTAGGGTTGTGCAATTAATCGTATTTTAATCGCAATTACGATTTTGGCCTGCCACAATTACAAAAACAACATAATCGAAAAAAACAATTATTTTGCTTTGCTAGGTTGTGACAGTGCACTGCAACATATTTGATCTAATTAATTTTAGTCTAATTAATTTGTATTTATCATATTTATATATATGTTTAGTAGCTTGTGGAAGTGCGCTCCAAAATATTTGTTGATCTTGTTTATTGGTATTTATTATTTTGATATTATTTATTTAAATTATATTATTAATGTATTATTATACGTTCAGGGTAATCAACAGTTAAAAAGATACTGTTCAAATTATTATTTGTATTTGTTTTTAAAGTTCAATAAATTGACTTTTTCAAAGTCAATGAATAATCGTATTTAATAATCGTGATATCAATTATTGACCCAAATAATCGTGATTATGATTTTTGCCATAATCGCACAGCCCTACCTTACATTCATAATTTCAGCCGGAGGTAGGGGGAGTGGCGCTGCGGAAGAGCAGAGCGTGAGTGAGAGGTGCTTGTCATCTTCCCTTTACAAGCTTCAAAAATGTATTTATCGTGTGATTTTAAAACGTAGCAGCCTGCGGTCGCTCTTTAGCCGTTCTAATGAAGGTAAACACAGTGAAGTAAACAGTAAAAGGCACAGCTCTTTGCAGCTGGTGCTGCTCTTCTCAGATTCTGCTGAGTTACACGTTACTGCCTCCTGGTGCTGCAGAGATTTCATGAAGTGAAGGAGGTACGGACATTAATTCATAGATCAAGGCAGACTGGTTCACAGACTCTCCTGTTTTGCCGATCTGGTGCTTAAACAAATAGCTCTACACCCCTGGCCGAAATGTCGCTAAAAGGAAGTCCGAGTTCGAAATATATCTCAAATAATGTATGCATTGCCATTTCCCCACATAAACATAACATTCTGCAATGAAACGTCTGTCTCCTGTGCGTTCCACTTCCTACTTGGCGCACCGGTAACTTTCTCATGCTTTTTTTTTCCATTGCCCTTTAGGGGCTTCGTACAATACCAAAACAAATATTTAAAGTTGAGTCTTTTATCAAAGTTAGTCAAGCAAGTCTCAAGTAAAAAAAATATGCGACTCGAGTCAAGTCATGTGACTCGAGTCCCCCACCTCTGGTATATACTGTGGTTAGAATGTTGCTGTATTACTGTATCAAATATAATACAAATATAATAAACACAAACAGTTAGTAAAAGTAGTATTTTGTTAACTCAAGGTTTATATTAAGAGAGTTTTTATTGTGTAAACTGTATGTATTTATGCTTTTTAGATTTACTTTCTCTCTTTCTCTGTCCGTCTGTTCTAGAAACCGAAAGGAAGAGAGAGTCTTCACAGCTGTCAGCAATGTGACAAATCCTTTACAACATCTGGACATTTAAAGCGCCACCTGCTTATTCATACTGGAGAAAAAATGTACAGCTGTGAAGAGTGTAGGAAAACATTCACTCGATCTGGTGATCTCAAAACACATCAACGTATTCACACTGGAGAGAAAACGTACAGCTGTGAAGAGTGTGGGCAAACTTTCGCTCAATCAGGTCATCTCAAATCACATGAACGTATTCACACTGGAGAGAAACCGTACAGCTGTGAAGAGTGTGGGAAAACTTTCGCTCAATCAGGTGCTCTCAAATCACATCAACGTATTCACACTGGAGAAAAACCGTACAGCTGTGAAGAGTGTGGGCAAACTTTCGCTCAATCAGGTGCCCTCAAATCACATCATCGTATTCACACTGGAGAAAAACCGTACAGCTGTGAAGACTGTGGGAAAACTTTCACTAGATCAGGTCATCTCAAAACACATCAACGTGTTCACACTGGAGAAAAACCGTACAGCTGTGAAGAGTGTGGGAAAACATTCACGACATCAGGTAATTTTCAAACACATCAACGTATTCATACTGGAGAAACACCGTACAGCTGTGAAGATTGTGGGCAAACTTTCGCTCAATCAAGTGAACTCAAATCACATCAACGTATTCACACTGGAGAAAAACCGTACAGCTGTGAAGAGTGTGGGAAAACTTTCACTAGATCAGATCATCTAAAAACACATCAGCGTGTTCACACGGGAATAAAACCATACAGCTGTGAAGAGTGTGGGAAAACGTTCACTAGATCAGATGCTTTCAAAACACATCATCGTATTCATACTGGAGAAAAACCGTACAGCTGTGAAGAGTGTGGGAAAACATTCACGACATCAGGTAATTTTCAAACGCATCAACGAATTCATACTGGAGAAAAACCGTATTGGTGTCAAGAGTGTGGGAAAACGTTCACTACGTCAAGTGCTCTCAAAACACATCAGCGTGTTCACACAGGAGAGAAACCGTACAGCTGTGAAGAGTGTGGGAAAACATTCACCAGATCGGGTGGTCTCAAATCACATCAATGTATTCCCACTGGAGAAAAAACGTACAGCTAGGAAGAGTGTGGGAAAAACGTTCAGGACATCAAGTGAACTCACAATCCATCACCGTGTTCACACAGGAGAGAAACCTTAGTGGTTTTAAGAGTGTGTGTTACGGCTGCTTTTTCTGTCTGCTCGTTAACCTGTCTGGGATTGTTTGCAGCTGTGTGTGTGTGATATATAAATGAGCTGTGTGGTTGCCCCAACGTCATTGGCTGTCATCTCCTGGTCCTCCTCCGAAGACACTGATTGGAGCACGCCGGGCCCGACGCTCTCCAATCCCCGTGCAATCCCAGCGCACACCTTCCGGAGATGACTACAAAGCCTCTAGCCTCTTGTTATACTTGTGATGATTTAGTGACTTCTGTGTGAAAGCTATACTGTTTAACAGCGTGTTAAATTAGAGCTTCTGTGTTTAGTTAGGTAATGCAGTGTACTTGTGCAAATAGTATCCAGAGTAACTTAGCTGTTAGCGTTTGTCGATAATTAGCTACAGCATTTCAGTTACTAATGCCACGTTAAAAGTGAGGGTTTTGTGTTCCTTTATTCAATATTTGTATAACCTGTAAGACTCTCTTTTGGAGTTCTCCTTTTGTTGGTTGTTGCGACCAGTATATGGCACTTTGTTTGTGCTAGGCTGCACGCCGTTATTATTTTGTTACCACTATTACTTATAAATAAATACGTATAATAATTACCAATTCCACACTGGTGTATGTTGTTTCTCCCTACCCCTAGAGAGGGGCGTAACAGTGTGGCAAAACGTTTTCTCAAAGTATTCACCTTAAAGTCCATGAGCGCATCCACACTGCATGGTTTTGAACAACTATGAGAGTTCTGACTAACAGACTTCAATTCATAGTCAGTCTTGTTTGATGTCCCTGAGGTCCTCCTCAGCTTTTTTAATATCCCTAAAATCCCCCTAAATAAAATGCGTGAGGCTTTTCTCCACTACACTCCCAAACTGTGGAACACCAGGAAATATCAGAGAGGCTCAGTGGACATTTTTAAAAGCCAGCTAAAGACACATCTCTTTAGATTAGCTTTTTATTAGCAACCCCCCACTTTAAATGGTGTTTTAGTCTTTATTATTTACCTACTTTTATATTGTTTCATTTATGATATAGGAAGGGTTTTTATCTCATGTTAGTTATTTAACAGTTTCAATAGCAACATTTATTTTTACGTTGGTTTCTTTATATTTTAATCGTTTAACCTTTATTAGAATTATGACGTTTTTATTACTCGACATTATTAGTTTTTATTTCTGTTGTACCTATATGTTCACTTTACTTTACAGGGTTTTATATTGTTGAATCTATTCACCTGTCTTGTGTCTTATCTTTCCGAGAGAAATCATCATTTTTTGTACTGTATTTCATTTGTTATTGTCATACCTTTTACCTCCTTGTGTATCTTAACCTGTTACAATGTTATATTTTGCTGCATGTATCTGTAAAGGTCTTAACGTCTGAGGGGACTTTCTTGTTTATTTTTAACTTGTGATGTGTCGCCATTTTGTAAAGCACTTTGAGCTGCACGTGCTGTATGAAAAGTGCTGTATAAATAAAGCTTTATTATTACAACAGTTTTTTATGTTCTAACCAGCGTTCACACTATGCCAACACAAGGCCACAGAGATGCTGTTTCTCCAATCTAGTTAATGTTTGTAATGGTTTCTGAACTATGAAGAAATGTTTTACTATTCTGTGTTTCAACCATGGTTTTCTAATAGCCTTGCTATTCCTTTTATTAAATATTATATCTCAACTGCTAGCCTCGTTAAGCTGCATTGAAGGAATTTAGTTTCACTGTTCATTAATCTGCAGAATAGTTTCTCCAATAATCTGTTTGGTTAATAAAATGTTGTGACTTTAAACTTCTATTGTGATGTTTTTGATAGTTCCTGTTGAGTTAGCAGTCTGTTCTGGGTTGCAGTCGAATTGTCCAAAAATCAGCTCCTATCGTCTTTTCCTATCCACTATTACCGGGGTTAATGCCTTTTACTTATGTTTACCGATCAGCAACGTGGTTTAAAAAGCTACGAACAAAGAACGGGAGGCAACAAAAACACGGTTTAATGAATAAAAGCACGGATAAATCACCCTCCAAGGATAAACTAACTCTTTGTATGTGTTTTAAAAGTCTCTTAAACACATTACATTCGGTATAAAATCTGCATCAACGTCTGTTAGCAACGTGTAGCTTCTGAGGACCGGAAGCTAGAAACAGGACCGCCGCAATGCATCATGGGATTGTAGTTTTTCTTTTAAACATAATTTCACTGCCCCCTGTGGTGAAAAAACAAACAGTATTAAAATAATGAATAATTACATTATTATTAATATTAATAATAATAATATATAAACATGGGACTGGTATGACAGATTATAAACATTGGGAACAATGTTTTAGTTTGTAATAAAAGGCATAGAACACATCCAGTAAAAGATAGGATAAAACACCAATGAGAAACGGCTACAAACTCACCTCCGACGCCCCAAAAGCCTGTCGGAAAAGGTGAGTCTTTAGCTGCCCCTTAAAAACCTCCACTGAGACAGAGGCTCTCAGTTTCTGGGGGAGTTCATTCCATAGGGGCCACCGCCTCAAAGGCATGATCCCCCTTAGTTTTTAGCCTGGTTCGGGGCACCCTTGAGAGGCCTTGCTCGGAGGACCTCAGGGCCCGGGTTGTCCTGTGAGGGTGGACAAGGTCGTTAATGTAGGCGGGGGCTTGGCCATGGACAGCTCTATATGTGTAAACCAATACCTTACATTGGGTTCTGAGATGGACAGGGAGCCAGTGCAGGGCAGAAAGGATCGGAGTGATGTGGCATGTTTTTTTTGGACCGAGCGAGTAATCTGGCTGCAGCATTTTGGACCTGTTGTAGCCGGTTTATTGATGTTTTGTTGAGGCAGGAGAACAGAGCATTACAGTAATCAAGCCGGGATGAAATAAAGGCATGGATAGCCATCTCCAGTTCTGCATTGGATAGAAAGCCCCTGAGCTTGGCAATGTTCCTGAGGTGGAACAAACAGGTACGGGTCAGGAGTTTGATGTGTTTTTCTAGTAGCATAGACTGATCGAAGGTCACACCAAGGTTTTTTATGTTTGCCCTAACGTTACCACTAAATGAACCCAGGTGGCTTGCTACCTTAGAGGCGATGTTATCAGCCGCTGAGATCAAGACTTCTGTTTTTGATGCATTGAGCTGTAGGAAGTTGCTTGACATCCACTCCTCAATTGCAGACAGACATGTAATCAGGGTGTTTAAATTCTCCGTTTTGACGGGTTTGAAAGAGAAATATATCTGGATATCATCTGCGTAAGAGTGATACAAGACACCCTTTGAATTGGCTAATTAAGGGGCCTAATGGGAGCATTTAAATAATAAAATAAAACAATAATGAAACATACGGAGCCCCTAAAGGGACATGGAAAAAAAAAAAAAAAAAAGAGAGAGAGAAAAATAAAGTCAGGATAACGAGTTAGTACGATTTCGTACTCAGACTTCACTTTAAGGACATTTGGGCCAGGAGTGTGTGGTCACTCCAGGAGGCAGCGGGACGTGTAAGTCAGAGAAGAGCTTTTACGCACCGCCTACACTGTGTTTACCTTCATTGAACAGCTATAAAGAGTGACCACAGGCTGTTACGTTTTAACCACACACACCTCTACACACACACACCTCTACACACATCGAACTGCCCGATCACTCCCCCTTTTATTAGTTTTATGAAGGAGATGTCCAGTCACCAGGGCGCATGATGGGCGGACTGGGACTAAAAATCAGCCCGGGAATCTCACCCAGCCCAGCCCACGTAAACTGTCAACGGGGGGAGCCTCGCTGCGGGGAAACGGTGGACCTAGTGGCCCACTTCGGTACCGGCCCATTGGGATTCGTCCCGATGGCTAGTCCGCCACTGGCTCTGAGTGTGTGTGTTCTGAGTGTTTGTTTCCCTTTAAAACAGCTGCGGGCAGCAGGTAGCCTACTCTGATGCGGCTTTCACACCAGCGCTTTTCCCTTTCTAGCTCTGAGCTATAGAGCTTTTCTGGTTCAGCTCCGGTTTCCCTTTTCAGCTCCCGCTCTGTTCACACCGCCCAGCTGTCGCTGCTGCGTCATGACGTCACCGTTTACATCGCTGATTTTCTCCCCAACGGAGCTCACCTCACAACAACAACGGGGGACTGCGTCGGGTCGATGATCGTGTTGCTTTTAATCATACGAAGCCAGATTAAATTAAATAACGACTTCTCCAACCTTATACTTTTCTCAAGAGTACCGTGGTTCATTGTTTATTAATGTGTTTCAGCGGCATTTACCGACCGCTGCAGTGCTGGCTGCTCTTCCACGGGAGTTTATTCTCCCGTTAGCTCCGGGTTAGCTCACACGGCTCTAAAGTATTCACTGTCTGACTGTCACACAAGCAGCTGATACATATCCCCAGTTGATGAGAGTCACGGACATTAATTATGAACATGAAAAAATATATTTAAAGAAATGTAATATGAAAATAAAATGTTTACTGAAACTAAAAACACAAAGTGGTAAATATAAGAATTAAATACATTATTTGTTTCAAACGTTTTTATATAAAAAATGAGTTCCTTAAACAATATTCACTCAAATTAAGCAAATGCAATTAAAAAAGAAAACCCTTGATGCAAAAGCCTTTATACATTTAACAGATGTTATGAATGTAGTGAAACCACCAGGGGAAGTGTTAGGAGATGTCTGAAGTATTTGTTGCACTTGACTTTATGACAGGGACCTTATTTAATATTGCATTGCAGTCTGCTTACTAGTTAAAGAAAGACAACAATTGTCTCATTATTGGACAAAAGAGGCTTCGTGTTAATGGATGTATTTATTAAAAATGACTAAATGTAATATCCTTTTTTTTTTAAACCTGATCTTATTGGTCTGATCCAGTCAGCTGACCTGGGACAGATCATGTGACCCAGCTGCTGTTTTGATAGGAATAAATGTCCAAACGTTTCCTGTTTACGGCCGTTTGAATCTCTGTTTTGAGAATAATAAAATAAGATAATAAAAATGATAAAATAATAAAAATTAATTCTTAAAAATTATGTAATAAAAATTCTAATAAGACAATAATAATAATACAAATAATAATAATAATAAAACAATAAATAAAATAAAACAACAATATATAATTCAATCACAATAACCCATTTGAAAAAAAATATATATAAAGCAATGGATTGTAGTGCCGAGAGAAGGGAGACGGAGGCGGTGCATTGGAGGTGCAAATCCCACTTTATTGGGGAGCAGAAATCGACATGCTGTCGGGTCGAAGGCACAGGAGACAAGAGAAAGTGAAAGGGGGAACACACAGTAGGTACACAGTAGGTACCGTCAACACATGTGTCCGTGCGGAAACAATACCCCCAACCTGTAGTTCCATGCGTGAATTATGTACCCTAGTTAAATAGTGGTCACTACACAAGCCCCCCCAGAATTCAACCATGGACACAATCCTCGCGTCCGGGAGGAAGCACCACAGGGGCCGAGGAGGGCGGGCCATGGAATGGGCCGTCGTCAGGGGGCCGCAGGAGAGGGTCGCGTCGTGGGGACAGGCGTGAAACACCCGGAGGTCCCCAGCAGGGAGGAGCGCTGCCCGGCCGCAGGCGAAGGCACAGCGGCGGCGGGCACGAAGTCCTCGGGAGGAAGGAGCCGTGTCCCCGGGAGGAGGGAGACGTGGACAGGGGAGAGGCCAGACGGGGCGCCGTCGAGGCGAACCGTGAGCCGCGGTTAGAGGAGAGGCCAGGCAGGGTCCCGAAGCGCGCCACCCACGGGCCGAAGCAGCCGCGTGTGACGTCCGAAACCGCCGTCGAGGTGGTGATAACAGCGAGAGGGTCCACACGAGGCCGACCAGACATGGTCGAACCTCCTCTCAGGCACCAGAAAAAGCTCAAAAATGGTCGTCCCGTCCACGAACAAAAACAGGTGGGCGAAATAGCGAGAGGATCCACGCGAGGCCAACCAGACTTGATCGAACCCCCTCTCCGGCACCACAAAAAAACAAAAATAAAAATAAAAAAACAGTCGGATGTCAGCCGCTAGCTGCTGTGGCTAGCCGTTGTTAGCTGTTGCCAGCTGCTAGCCGTTAGCAGTCGTGGTTAGCTGATCTCGGCGGCCGTTAGTCGCTGGCCGGACATGCAGCCGCATGTCCCGAACCAACCCGGCACGGTCGCGCACCGGCCCCATGGAAGGCTTGCCGTCCCCCAGAGCCGAAAAGCCGTGGAAATGGCGAGCGTCGTCCGCGTCCATACCGTGGGGCGCACCGAGCCACAGTCCGAGCGCACGAGGCAGCTACGGAGGTCTCCAAAAATCCCCGGCATTTCGAGAAAAGCTGTGCTCTTTGCCGTGTTCGAATCAGTCTCGGATCCTTCGCGAGACTTATGTCAGGGTCACCACTGTAGTGCCGAGAGAAGGGAGACGGAGGCGGTGCATTGGAGGTGCAAATCCCACTTTATTGGGGAGCAGAAATCGACATGCTGTCGGGTCGAAGGCACAGGAGACAAGAGAAAGTGAAAGGGGGAACACACAGTAGGTACACAGTAGGTACCGTCAACACATGTGTCCGTGCGGAAACAATACCCCCAACCTGTAGTTCCATGCGTGAATTATGTACCCTAGTTAAATAGTGGTCACTACAGGATATCTTTTTTACAGAAATGTCTCCTTAACACACGGCCCGTTTATTCAGAGTATTAATGAGGATGTTGGAGAGCTGCTGATGTAACTAAATAATTCCCAATGTGGGATCAATAACGTTTAATGTGTTAATACTTCATTGCTTGTTTGTTTGTTTGTTTGTTTGTTTGTTCACAGCATGTTAAGCAGCCTTGGGTCC